TTGGTTGTTACTGCAAATGGGCTTTCAATTTCTAAAAAAAATTCTAAGTAGTTATTATTAGTCAATAGAAATGTTATTGATTTTTGGAGTTGCTCTTGTACCTTATTGGTACTTACCATGTGCAGGGCACAATTCTAAGTTCTTCACATGTATAAACTTAGTTAACAACACTTTTGGGTATGTACTAATGATATTTCTAATCTACAGCTGTGAAAAAGAGGCCACAGAAGGATTGCCTCTTTGTAGAATCTGTTAGATTTTCTGGATATGTGACTATATTGCCTATAAATAATGACAATTATTTCTCTCCCTTTCCAAAACCTGTGCTTATTGTTTTTTCTTGTTAACTTGCATCCACTCAAGCTGATACGGAGTAGTACCAGCAGGAGCACATACCCTTGCACACCTCCTCCCTCCAGTGGTATTGTGCTCATGTTCCCAGAGTACAATGTTTGCCGCGGATTTCTGGTAGAAGTTCTACTCCGTGGAAGAAGATAACATATATACGTGGTTCACCAAGAATGCTTACTGTGAATGAGTTTTGGATCTCACCAATTTTTTTCATTATTGATTGAGATAAATATGTGGCTTTTCTCCAGTATATTAATGAAGTGAATGACATTGTGACTTTTCTCGTGTGAAATTATCCTTTTGATTTTTGGAGTTGATCTTGTACCTTGTTTGTACTTACCATAGGTAAGTTTTCTTTACTTGGTGTTTTCTTTAAAGCACCGCTGAACTTGACTTGCTAATGTTTTATTTGGGATTATATCCATCTGTTTATATATAAGATCAGCTGTACTGTCTTATGGTGTCCTTGATTTGGGTTTTCTAACAGGTTTGCGCTTATTTTAGAAACGACTCAGCCATAAGGAGCAAAAACAAATAACAAAATCTTTCAGCATCATTTGAGACGAGAAGTGTAGAGGCAGAGGCTGCTTATGTGTCTCCAGGCATCCGTTCAGGCCTAGACCATCATCTTTCATCCATGATTGCAAGGCAACCAGCTCAGCGCCCAGCATTGTGTCCATGGCAAGGGGCTGGGGCTGGAGACACATCAGACGGCCCAATGCCTTTGGCCAGTAAGGTAGAGGCTTTTCCTGAGCCTCCCAGAACATTTCTGCTTGTGTTTCACTGGCCAGAACTGTCATATAGAAACCTCTACCTGCCTCATATATGTCTTCTTTCGTAAAGTGTCTGTTCATATCCTTTGCCCACTTTTGAATGGGCTTGTTTGTTTTTTTCCTGTAAATCTGTTTGAGTTCTTTGTAAATTTTGGATATCAGCCCTTTGTCAGATGGGTAAACTGCAAACAGACTTAGTCCACATTTCCAGTTATCAGTGAAGTTTATCAAAACCTTTCAGCCTGAGCTCCAGCAGTGGTTCATTTATGCAATAAATATTCAATAAATATTTTTAGAGTGTAAAAAAAAAAAAAAAGAAACCTCTACCTGCAAAGAAGATAGGAAAAGCATTTCGTTTTTCCAGCCTCTCTTGGTGGAGTTAAAAAGGCATGGAGGACCCAAAGTGAAATTGAGGGTGTTACCCAGCAGTACTGGTCACAGCCCGCTTCTCATGGTGTCCCTTATTTTTTTCCATGTTCTGAAACAGTGGCATGAGATAGCTTGGTAGAATACTCCCACAAACCCATCTCATCATGATGTTATTTTACAGATAAATCATCAGTTACACTTTTAGTGTATTTTAAGCGTGTTGAGCTTTTCAAATTGTCTACTTTTTCTGGGGCTGATTTTGATGATTTATATTTTTCTAGAAAGTTGGCTATTTAATTAGGCATTAACAATATAATAATAATAATTGTACATGGCATGTTCTTATAATTCTAAAAATTCTCCTTGTTACCTAAACTTGAATTCCATTTTCCTGGTATGAATTTGTGTGCCTCGCCCTCCCTTTTCTCTCTGTCTTCCTCTCTCTTTTACGAAGATTGGCCAATTGCCAATGTTGTGAGTCTTCGAAAGAATAAGCTTTGGGTTTTCCTGATAAACCCTAATGAAATTTAAAAATACAAATGCATGTTCTGCTTTTTGGTTTATTAATTTTATCCTTCCTTTTTCACCATTTTTGCTGTTGTTATTCTTCTTCTAGAGTTCAGGGTTTAAGACTTAGTTCATCTATTTTCTTTCTTTTTAGGAAATATCTCCAAACACTGAAAAGTAATAAGAACAAGATAATGAATACTTACCACTACAATTTGACAAATTTAACAAATTTAGTATTATGGCACAATTTATTTGAGATTTTTTAAAAAATTACACTTAAGCTCTTTTTGCTCTTCTCCAACCTCTCTCCCCACAACTCACCTCGTTTGCTAACTGCCATCCAATTGTACACTTTCACTAAGCATGCATGTGTCTCTAAACAATGCGTAGAATTGTTTTACATTCATTAAAACTTTACATATCACACTGTAAATCTTGCTTGTTAACTTGTTTGTTAACGTTTTTTTCTACCAGCATTAGGTTTTGAGTTGTATCAATGAAAAGGTATTTCACTCGTGTTTATTGCTGCATGAAAATCCCACACTTGGTGATTCAGATATCCAGTTTCCTGCTGATGGACACTTAGGTTGTTTTCATGTTATTACTGATATTTTTAATAATTGCAAATAGCAAACATCCTTGCATATTTCTCCTCCTACACATACTTCAGAGGTTCTCTAGGCTGGATACTTAGGGAATTTCTAGGCCATGAGGCATGTGTATCTTCAGCTTTACTAGAAAATACCAAATTGTTCTCCAAAGTGGCTATGCCAGTTTAAACTCCACCAGCAGGCACCAGAGTTCCCACTGCTCCACATTCTGCCAACACTTGCTGACTGTCACACTTTATACATTTTGCAGAGGTGATGGGTATGGAATAACATCTTATGATAGTTTTAATATGCATTTCCTGTGTTTTAATGGGCTTCATTATGTTTTCATGTGTTTTTTGTCATTTAGATTTCTTCTCCTCTGAATTGCCTGTTTCTAGTCTCTGCTTATTTTTCTGTGCAGATTTTTGTCTTTTTCCTGCTGAGTTGTGGGAGTTCTTCTGTCAGCTAGGGGCTAATTCTCCGTTGGTTTTGGACATTGCATGTGTCTTCTTCCTTCGGGGGCATATCTGTTTGCTTTGTCGTTGGTGTCTCTTATCACCTAAAAGCTTCCATTTTAATGTAATAAAATTAATCTTATCCTTTATGTCTTGTTCAAAAAGTTTTTCCCTACACCAATATAGGGATATTTTCTCATTTGTTTCCTCTAATGTTATTTCCTCAAAATAAAGATATTTTCTCATTTGTTTCCTCTAATGTTAAACATGTTTCAAATTTAGGCACTTAATCCATTTGGAATTTATTCTTGTGCATGGTATGATATAGGGGAATGAATTTTTAAATTTCCATCTAAATAGCCAATTTCCCAGAACCATTTACATAAAAGTCTGTTGTTTCACCGGCAATTTATTATGGCATCTCTGTGGCATACCAGTGTTCTCATCTAGGATCAGAGCTGTTTTACACTACTTCATTTATTTTTTTAAAAAAAATTCCTACTATGATACCAAACTACTGTCCTTAATTATTGTGCTTTCATAATAAGCCTATGTGTTAGATAGAGAATGTCTTCCTCTACCTTATACACTTCCATGGACTTTTACTTTTCCATATGAATTTTTGGATTCATTTTTGTTATATTTTATTCAGCATTTTTTGCTTTTGCAGCTGAAGGCTTATCTATTATATTTTCTTTCTGATTAATGCTGATATTTAGAAAAGCTTTGGATTTTTCCCTGCCAACTTAGTAACAGTTCTTAAAAATATTTTAGAAGTTTTTCAACCTCTTCTCTTGGATTTTTGGGTAGAAAACAGTGTCACTGCAAATAATTATAACAGCAGCTAATAATTAATGAGTATACATATATCAAAACATCATTGTCTCAATATAATTTTTATTTGTTATTTTAAAAGTATAAATAAATAAATATTTTAAAATAAGAAAATCATTGATTAGTGAGAGCTAAGGACATGGTGGGATCCTTCATGTATTCGTCACAAGAACTTCAAGCCTACAATTCTCCCCCATCTTACAGATGAGAACACAGAGACAGAGAGTGAAAAAGTGACCTCCCAAGGTCACCAGTTAGTAACATGGTGAGGGTGGCATCAGTCTTCCAGCTCCTCCCATCAGCCACCACACCACACTCTCTCCCAGTAGAGCTGTACTTCTTACTTTTAGTATTTATATCTTTCTTGTATTATTGAACCAGGTTCCATCTTATTAGATGACCTTACCTCTTACTTCACAGAGAAAATACAAGTCCCTATAAGGTTTTGCAGGGTTCTTCTTCCCCCGATACCAACTCTCCAATTCTCCTATAAATCTTGAAATTCAACAATTCAGTTCCTATGCTAACTACCCAGAGTTAGCCTTGGGCTCCACCAATTGAAGGGCCCAGTCCCACATGACTGCCCTTTCTGTAGATACCAGCCACAAATGGGGTACCCTCTTCTGCCTAGGCAACTGCAAATTTGGGGATTCCCACAGCCCTCTCCCCTTAGGTTCAAGAGTCTACTAGAACCACTCATAGTGCTGCAGTCACCATTCCCGGCTTGTGATAAAGAGTGCAACTCAGGAACAGCCAGATGGGAGAGATGCATATGGCAAAGTCTTGGAAGGGGTGCGGGGTTTCCACACCCTTGCTGGACACACACTTCTCAGCACTTCCATGTGTTCACTAACCTGGAAGCTCTCCAAACCCCGTTGTTTAAGGGGCTTTATGGAGGCCTTGTTACATGGGCGTGATTGATGAAATAATTGACCATGGATAATTGCTGTCATTTCTAGCCTCTTTCCCCTTCCTGGAGGTTGGGGGGTGGTTCTGAAATTCCCAATCCTCTAGTCATGGCTTGGTTTTTCTGGTGATCAGCCCTGATCCTGAAGCTATGTAGGGGCTCCCATCCACCAATCATCTCACTAGCTTACAAAAGACATTTTTTTTTTTTATTAATGAAGTACTTCATGAATTTGCATGTCATCTTTGCACAGAAGCCATGCTAATCTTCTCTGTATCATTCCAATTTTAGTATCTGTGCTGCCAAAGAAAGCACACAAAAGACATTCTTATCACTCAGGAGATTCCAAGAGTTTTAGGAACCCCATGCCAAGACAAAGACCAGATATTTATTTTTTATTATGCCACAGTCCTGCCACATCCCATTGACAAGGACGCTCACTTACGGTTTCACATTCAGTACATTCAGGGCCCGCTGTCCTGTTATGACAGGCAAAGTGTTCTTCCACCCACCTCAAACTGATTTTCCCACATGTGCTTTACACTGTAATGGTTAATTTTACGTATCAACTTGACTGGGCCACGGGGTGCCCAGATATTTGGTCAAACATTATTCTGGGTGTTGCTGTAAGGGTATTTTTAGATGAGATTAACATTTAAATATGTAGACTAAGTTAAAGTGAATTGCCCTCTACAATTTAAGAGGGCCTCATCCCATCAATTGGAGGCCCGATCAGAGCAAAAAGGCAGACCAAATATAAGAGAATTCTTCCTGTTTGACTGCATTTGAACTGGGGCATTGGCTTTTTCCTGCCTTTGGACTAGAACTGAAACATCAGCTCTTCCTCAGTCTTGAGCCTGTCTGCATTCAGTCTGGAACTACACCACTGATTTTCCTGGGTTTTTAATTTGTCAACTCATCTTGCAGATTTGGGGACTTGTCAGCTTCCATAATCACATGAGCTAACTCTTTATAATACATCTCTTTCTACTCTCTCTATATATATTTGTTCCATTTCTCTGAAGAACCCTGGCTAATTTTTTTTTTTTTTTTTTTTTGATACGGAGTTTCACTCTTGTTACCCAGGCTGGAGTGCAATGGCGCGATCTCGGCTCACCACAACCTCCGCCTCCCGGGCTCAGGCAATTCTCCTGCCTCAGCCTCCTGAGTAGTTGGGATTACAGGTACACGCCACCATGCCCAGCTAATTTTTTGTATTTTTAGTAGAGACGGGGTTTCACCATGTTGAACAGGATGGTCTCGATCTCTTGACCTCGTGATCCATCCGCCTCAGCCTCCCAAAATGCTGGGATTACAGGCTTGAGCCACCGCACCTGGCCTAACCCTGGCTAATTTTTACCTGACCCAGCCACACATTATGGTAGGAAAAAGATATCAATTGCAATATCCCTTAATTTGCCCCTGACAGGATTGGACTAAAACCACTGAATAATTTAATCAATAAGTTTTAGCTATTTTAAATATGTAGAGATCTATACTCCCACCCCCCACTGCCAAATACAGAGAATACACATTTTTTGAACATGTAAATACTGACAGACATTTGTGACCATTCCCTATACCACAAAGGAAACCTCAACTTTGTTCCACTGAGTCACCATCATAGAGTCTTCATTTGGAAATAATTATGTAATACAATTAGAACCTAATAGTGAAGGAATTCTTCCTTAAATCCCATGTGGTCAGAAACTGAATTCCACATTACTAAGTAACTCTTTGTTTAAAAAATAAATCTGAAAAATGTTAAAATATCATAAATCAATAGTATAAAACTGTTGCAGTCAATCACCATTTAAAGGGAAATTTATGATTTTGAGCAAAATTACCAGGAACCAAAAACATAGAAAAAAATGCATTAAACATTCACATAAAGACATTAGAAAATGAGAATCAAGGCAAACCTAAAGCAAGAAGGTAAAGGGCAGAAATCAGTGGAAGTGAGAACAGTGAGACCAGTGACACCAAAGCACAGTGAAATGGGAGAGGAAGAGAGAGTGGAAAAGCATATACTAATGGGACAAAAGAGGGATTTGCTTTGGACAGTAGTAAAAGATCATGATAACTACTTATGGATAAATTGGAAGCCTAAATGATGTGGATGAAGTTCTAAGAAAATAGAAAATGCAAAAATTGGCACAAAAAGAAATAGAAAATTTGAATAAGCCAATGATTGTTAGATAAATTGCAATCTAATAATTCCCCTTCCAATGAGCCCCCTGTCCAGACAGTTTTGTGGGAGATTTGTAACCAACTCTCAAGGGGTTATTAATTCAGTGTCAAAAAAAGTAAAGATTGCTCAGCTCATGTTAGGAAGCTGGTGTAACCTTGATCCCTAAACTAAATCTAAAAAGGAAAGAAGTTCATATTACTCACAAGTGTAAATGCATAAGCTTAAGTAAAATATTAGCTAACATAATGTAACTGTATTAAAATGTAAGTTGTAACCAGGTAGGGTTTATCTCAAGAATGCAAGGATGGTTCAAAATTAGAAAATATGCTACCATTATTTATGATTTATTAAATAAGAAAATTTATAGATTATCTCAATAGATACAGAAATTATTGATAAAATTCACCTATTTACAGTGATAATTACAATGGCAGCAACAATAATAACTTTATAACAATCTAGGAATAGAAAAGAACTTCCTTATCTTTTGTAAAGATTACATGTCAAAACACTATAATAAAGAGGAAACTTCATTGCTAGGGTTTATCACAGTGCAGGAGGGCTGGTGAATGCTAGGAGGAAAAAGGCAGATGTAAGAAGGGTGAGGCTTGTAAAGAGAAGACCTAAAACTGTATTTATATCTGTGTAAATAAATATATGTCATTTTATTTAGAGACATTTTGTTATATGTCATTTATGACATTATTTATTTAAATCTATAAAAAACCAAAATCATCAAAATACAAACCTTGACACCTATTAAGAATTCAGCAAGGCTGATGGATACAAAACTTAATAAAACTCAATGGCATTTCTCCATACCAGTTAGAAAATATAATAAATTAGATATTATTCATGACAGCAATAAAATGCATTGTGTCTAGAAATTGCCTTAGCAAAGAGTACATAAAATTCTAGGGGAAAATTTTAAGTGAGACTTTCTTTTAAAGACCTAAAAAACAGATACATTTAGTATTCTTCAGTGTACATAACTTAACAGTATAAGGAAGTCAAGTGTCCCCAAATTAATAATATAAATAAAGTGCTATCTATAAATAAAATGCTATCGCTTTGTAGATGGTGGTAGTGGATGCACAGTTTTATTTTTCTCCATATTCACCATATACAAGGGTAGCTTCTAGAAAGATTAAAAACCTCAAAGTAAAAAATAAAACCATAAGTGAATAAAAAATGATGTGGGAGAATTATGGCTGAGAGGTAGGGAAGGACTTCTTAAAACCCAGAAAGTAAAAATCAGGCCAAAGGGATGAATTTGTTTACATCAAAATCAAGGATTTCTGCTTGACAAAGGACACTTGAGACAAACTTAAGAGGCAGGTAATGGACTGGAGCAAGATATATTCAATGTCTGAAATGGAAAAGGGACTGCTATCTAGTGTAATATACACAGATACAGATATATCTCTGTAAATCACCAAGTGGAAGATTACAACTGTTTTAGAAAAGCAGACAAAGGATGAAAATAGGCAGAAACAGAAAGAAACTCCAAGTGCTCCCAAACATGAAGAGAATATATTTGTTGGAAAATGCAAATTAACACAGACGTGGGTCACTTTAGCCCATCAGAATAACAAAACACTGGATATGCCAAGTGTTGGCATTGCTTCTTGGCATGGGTGCTGAGAGGCTGATATGTTGCAGCCACTGTCAACAAAGGGGGGCCTCTGTAAATTTAGTGCATGTACACACCCTGGACAAGCTCTCCTGCAGCCAGTGGGGGACACCATGCAGATGCTGCCCTCAGCACTGCTGTGTAAGGAGCTGAAAGCAGCCAGGGTCCATCCAAAAATGACTGGATCAGAAAACTGGACAGTGCACACCATAGAATAGATCATTTACCCATCAGAAGCCATGCAAGATGAAAATCTTAAAAACAACAGGGAGTGAAAAAAGTGAGAAGCAGAATGAGCTCTAGAGCTCATTACTTAGCGTGGTCTTCAGATCAGGACCAGCAGCAACTACATCACCCAGGAGCCTTTTAGGGTCTCAGGATCACAAACCCCACCCAGACCTGCCTATCAGAATCTGCCTTTTAACAAGAGCCCAGGTCAGCAAAAATGTGAGAAGCACTTTTCTGACTAGATGTCACACCTTTCTAGAAAGCCACTGTAATCAGAATACAATGAGTTCAGCTTAGGAGTCAATTAATACCGCAGTGGGTAGAGACCAGAGGACCTATGTTGGAACTCCTGTAAGTCAAAGCCCAAAAAAAGGGGTTGTTGGAAAACTGGCTACCTATCAGTACAGGACCTTGGAAAGACATCTCCCACTGCATCCTACAGATATGTTGGATGTATTAAAAGTCACCTTTTCTTTCCTTGTCCTGAGACATTTGCGTCTGCCATCCCTGTTGCATGGAACTCTAGTGCTGAGTAAATGAACTGCTGGGTGGAGGCAGGGAGTAGAGCCGAGAAAAGACGGTCATTTCTCTTCGTTTATCATTGTCTTTCTTTTTTACTGGGGCAGTGGATGCATTCATAATTGTGAGTGATCCCATAAGGGTTGGCCCTCTTTTCTGGACCCAGGCAACAGCTGAGTTCACCACACTTCTCCATCCCAGGCACACCACCCACATGGAGCCTCTCATTTTAATGACTCTCTTTACCCTCCTATAACCTGTTCAAGTCTGGCTACTCACCACTCAGAAGTCGAAGCATGAGAAGTGAGGTGTGGTAGAAGGAAAGCGGCTTTTATTGGTCAAATGTTTGCAAATGTGAGAACCGCTGGGCTTATGCCTCAAAGGAGCCATCTCATCCTGCTGGGATGAGTGAGGGACTTAAGAAAAACGTGTGAGAAACATGTGTGAGTGGTGAAGAGGAGAGCTGCACGGCTCCTTCCAGTGGCTCTCTTGAGTAATCACCCAGCAGGAGATCCAGTTTGCAACATCCTGACTTTGGCCTTGTAGCGGGCTCACTGTTTCTAAATCCCCTTGACTGGGAAGATTCCACACTGGGGTCTCTCTGCCTGATTTGTTTCAAAATTGGCCCCTGGAATTTTTAAGCAAGCACATAATTAGGTAAGTGAACGTTGTTTACAGAAGTGCCTTGTGGAAAAGGGAGAAACAAAGTGTTTCAAAGTATGTTTCAAGACGGAAGGCAAGAAA